CATAAAATTTGATAATTTTGCTCTGCTAATCTGTTTAGATTTTTAGTCACTAGCCCAGATGAGATTTCATACTGCTTTTGAGCTCCCTCTAGCATCAGACATTAGGATCTTCCCATGATAAGGAACTGAGATATGAAATATAAAAGGATAACAGAAAACTCAATAAGCAAGTTTTCCTTTCTATTTCTCTTTGGGGGACAGAATTAATACAGTGAATAGGGCTGAGATGTTTTCCTGGCTGTGAATTGAAGACTGGAGGGAATGTAGGTACGGTCATATTGGGACAGAGTGGTATTACTGGGTTGCCTGCCCTTCCTTCTCCACTTACTACAAAAGACAGAGTTCAGAAATATAGATTGCTCCTCTCTGCTCTGGTGTAGGCTCACATTGCTAAAGTGCATTGTGACACTGCTTTGATCAAACAGCTGTGAGCTGCGTGAGACTGAATTAACATATAAAGGTACCTCAGTGTACTCTATATAGGTTGGTATTTTTGAGATTTAAATGTGTAAAAGGTCCTTTGGAAAATGTCTTGCACTATTTCTCCAGGAACCTGATGCACAAAGAGCAACACCACAGTCAGACCTCCTTCAGCACTCATGCCAGACCTAAAGAAGTTTTCACCCACATGTTGCTCCTTCTTTTAGGTCTAAATGTTTCCAATTCAGTCTTCAATTTGCCCAGTGAAGTGGGCAAAAGAATAGCAGCTATGACAGGTAGAACACCACCTAGATCAATCTTTTCTCTACCTTTGCAGTGTGAAGGACAACAGTGTTCAGAAGAAGAAATTACTTTTCTCAGTTGTCCCATGAAGGCACTGACTTCCTTTGCAGTCTTTCCCTGAGTGACAAGTGAGGTTGCAAGTGTTCATTCAGTGACTGGAATAATGAGGAAGATGGATGAAGGAGCTCAAAGGGAAGTGTTAACACCTGCAGAGGGTGGAAGAAAGACAGAACAGAGCAGACTCAGGGTAGAATATCCTCCTCATAAGATTCTGCACTGCAAACATTTCCTAGGAACACCTTGAACATTTATACATTTATTTTACTCTCATATTCAACAACTCCAGACATAGTGAACAGTTTCTATTATGCAAGATGCTGTACAAATTATATTTATTTGCCTCAGAAAAATTACACTAAGAACCATAAGCCCCAACAGATGGACTAGACACACTCCAATGTGGCTAGCTGATGCATGGACCACAGCTAGCAATTATCTATATTTAATTAAAAAGAAAAAAAATCAAATGAAAAAATAAATTTCAGTTTCTACATTGAAAACTGCAAAGAAAATTGATATTTTAAGTTCAATCTGAGTGAAAAGAATTATACACGTATGCCAATGATGGTATGTTAACTTCCTCTGGTAAAATAGAAATACTTTAATGACCTCACTTAGTCCAGCCCTGCCAACATTTCATCATCTTCCCAGTTAATTACTTCCAGAGTAAGAAATGATATTGGGAACAATTAGGCATTGCATGTCACTGCAGCTCCTAATTCTGTTGTCTATATTCCTCTGCAGTCAGGCTGAGTTTGTTTTAAGTTTATTTTATTTCAGCTTATCTCACATCAGAAGAAGTGGAAACCTCGTGAACAGCTGGGAAGTGGCAAATCCCATATTCTGACTCATAAAAGTCACAGGTAAGCCAAAGAAAAACTATTCCAAAGGCACAGAATGGCAGTAACTTTGCTTCTCAACAGCTCTGCACTGAAGGTAACAGATGCATTTCTTTGAAACCAGTCTGTTGGAATTTCACAGAGGGGCAGAAAATGCAGAAAAAAACCCAAACACAAAAAGCCCAGCTGTTGGGTTGGAATTGTCTTGAAGTGGAGCTACAATCCAGGGAGATGGAGAAACATGCTGGGAACCAAGAACTGAAAATACTGTTTCAGTATACACTGATAGAAGGGTTTTGCAAAAGTGCTATTTTCTCAACAACCACCTGGTCCAACAAGACTGTGGCTTTTTCCATCCACGTTTGATACTGTCTACCGAAAGTAGTGTCTTTTAAAGACAGGTTGCTCACCTGCCTAGCACCACAACTCAAGTTACAGCAAGATTTACTGAGCACAAGCACTACTTTCCACCTGGTGGGATTAACCATGATAAATGAGCTTTTTAAAACACTAAATTCTGGCACAAAGGAGAGTTCCTACTTGTGTTTCAGTAAAATGGAGCTAGTAATAAGTATTTATTTTCTATGCAGCTGGAATAAAACAGGGCATAGCACAAATGAAATTTCTGGCAAAAGGAAAGAGTGTTTAATATAGAGCTTCTGCAGAAAAGGTCCTCTTTGATAAAGAAGCTCTGCAGCTTAAAGGCTGCTGCTTTCAGAGAACATAACAGGTTTTCAGACAATATGGAAAAATGCTAAAAAACAATCTCCAAGGCAGAGATGAATACTGTGTGGAGCACAAAGGAATTGCATGAAAAGTTCTGTTGCAAACCTTCTGAGCAAGCAAGGACCAAGCTTGGCTGCTGAAGATGACTCAAGCTGAATTTTCAAAAGTAAGAAACTAAAAAGTTTGCTTCTTTGATAGTTGATAGGTTCCTTTTTTCACTAGTTTTATCCCGGGGATTTGGATTATTTTGGGTACACAAAAGCTCAGCATGCTCAAACAGCAGCAGCAGAAAAATTAGATAATTCTGGCAGCAGCACGAGGAAAGAGGTGCATGGTCTTACTGTGTTGGATAAGGAGTACATACAAAAACACACAGTCCACAGCTGTATTGAACTCATGCCCAGCACCTCAGCCTGTGCCTCTTCACAAGCAGTTTTCCCTCTGCTGTCCTCGGGGGCTACTTTCGTGTTCTTTCTGTCTGCTCTTTTAAAACCCCCTCCCTTATCTTCCTTCAGTGATGTTCTTCATGTCCCCTTTCTCAAAATTTTCTTCTTAGATTCAAGCTTTTTTTTCAGAGATTTATGCCCATGTGCCTCTGTCTTTTCATCCACTCTGATGTGTATCATCACAACATGCAGTAGCCAGAGGTAGCTTCGAAGGGGACCTGATTGTCAGAAGCTGTTTAGGCCCCAGGGAAGCTGATGGGAGCTCAGATTCTAACCTTAAGCACACAACTTTGGAATAATTTGTTCTGTGAAATCTGTCAGTCCTAATGTTGTCTGTTATTTAGACATTCCTACAAGTCTTGTTTTGTTTAAGGTGTTATCACAGCCCTTTAATACCACATAATTGTGTGAGTATCTCAACCTTTGTCTTGGAAGAAATCCTTTTTGATTCCTCTTGGCTGTAGAGGAAAATGGAAAAATGAAGACAGGAGTGTTAATTAAAACACACAACTTGTGTTATATGGATTTTATTTCACTCTCACAGTCTGGGAATAGAAGCAACAAAGCCAGTGTCCCCTCTGCATCCAGAAAACACATATCATATCTCCAAAATGAGGACAAATTAAGGAGGCTTGAAGGTGAATATCTATTCACGCAGGAGTTGACTTATCAATAACACAATCATTTTTCAGATGAATTGCAGATCCAGTTATTGTTTTTTTCCAACTCTGAAAGTCAAAGAAAGCTTCTTAAAATAAAGATAGCTTTCATAAATTTTCTTTTGAAATTTTAAATGTGTTTCATGTAAGCTTTCAACTTTACTGCAGTGTCTCAGTTTGGTGAATAGTATCTGAAAAAAAAATCTGATTGAGAAATATGTATGAGTCAGCAATCATGATGCCTCTAGCAAAGCTAGAATAATGAGTGTGAGCCAGTAAATTATTAACTGCCTTTATTATAGCTGGCTAAGAATCAGTAACAGCTATTAAAAATATATAATTGAGATGGAGTTCAATTTTTTTTGGCATAGTAGAAAACCTGAAGGAATGATTGGATGTTAAGAGTCCTTTTGGTTCTGTAGGTAGCAATTTATGTTCACATCAAAAAAGTAAAAAAAGTTCATGGTTTTTGAAGCTTTTCATAAGATGTGCTCTAAAAGAGTGAAATGTATGTGTACTGTATTTACATGGGAGGGTTTTGGTAGTGGGGCAGTTAAAGGGGTGGCTTCTGTGAGGGACATGAGAAGCTGCTCCTGTGTGCAACAGAGGCAGTTCCAGCCAGACCCAAGACAAAACTGCCATTGGCTGAAACTGAGTCTGTGAGAAATGTTGGTGGAATCTCTGAGATAACGTATTTAAGAAGGGGCACAACAACTGCTGGGAGAGAAAAGTTGGAATCTGCAAGAGAAACAAATCTGCAGACACCAAGGTCAGTGAAGGAGAAGGGCTAGGAGGTACTGCAGGTGCCAGAGCTGAGATTCACCTGCAGTCTGCGATGTGGACCATGGTGATGCAGGTTGTCCCCCTGCAGCACATGGAGATACATGAAGGAGCAGATATCCACCCTATATCCAGTGTAGGACCCTGTGCCACAGCAAATGGATATGCCCTGAAAGAAGATGCAGCCTGTTGAGACCCTACACTTGAGCAGGCTCCTGCCAGGACTTGCGGCCCTGGAGAAAGGAGTCCATTGCTGGAGATGGTTTTTGTGTCTCTATGGGGAACAGGGATGCAGGAGAAGCCCATTGCTGAAGGATTGCACCTCTCAGATAGAACCTATGCCGGAGCAGTTCTTGAAGACCTTCAGCCCATAGGAAGTCTGCCAGGTGCCCACTAAGCAGCTCTGTCACTCCTCAGCATGATGGGAGAGAAAATGAAAAACCCATGGATTGAGATAAAAGCAGCTTAGTAGAGAAAAGCAAGGTCCACATGGTGAAACAAAGGAAAACACAGAGGTTTTATTCTCTACTTCCCATTAGCAGGTGATGACCTGCCACTACCCGCGAAGTAGGGGCTTTGGTAGCGGTTGGTCCAGAAGAGAAATGCTTTAATAAATAATTCCCCCACCCCTCCTTCCTCCTTCTCTTACTCTTATTGATGAGTCATATTGTTAAATTGTATGGAATATCCCTTTGGTCAGTTTAAGTTAGTTGTCTTGGGTAGGTCCCCTCCCAACCTCTTACCCACCCGCAGGTTTTGAGGCTTGAGGCTTGGTGGTAGTGGTTTGGAGAAACAGCCATGGTGGTGTCTGAGAAAAACTCAGCAGTAGCCAAAACACTGGTGTGTTATTCATACTCTTCTAGCTGCAAGTACAGAGAACAGCACTATGAAGGCACTATGAAGAAAGTTAAGTACATCCCGGTCAGACCCAATACATTTAATAATATGCAACATTTAACAATATGTATTTCTTAATACATACAAATTGAATGTGACTGTAAATTAGAGAATTTAGAAAAAAATAAAAAACATCAAGAAAGTATTTCTAAGAGAACCTCACCTTGGGTTCTTTACTTTTTTTACAAAGTCACAAGCATTCTTTTACAAAGTCACAAGCATTTTTTGTTTCAACAAGATTGTATCTTATAAAGGGGTGGGAAGGGGGAATCAACATTTCTTTCCTTGGACCAACTTCTCTGTTTCTGTCAACATAAATTTTACCATTGGAATTTAGTCTGACCTTGTATCTAACTTAAACTCTTATCTTTTGCAGACTATGCAAACTTGTTTTTTCTTTTCTTTCACAAATACTTCTAAACAAAAAGAAAGGCATTACACAAATGTTAGCTGAATGCCTCGTCCCTGCATTAGCAGAACAAGTTCATGCAGCCCCTTTTCTGATCTGCTTTGTCAGTTTTCCCCTGAGAGAATAAAAGAGTCAGACTTCTTAGGATTTATTTGTGTAACACCGAGGCATCCAATGCATGAATTTTGCCACTTCCAGACATTACTCAAAGCATATTGTACAGCAAAAGTTTACTAAGGAAGATTACAGGGCTTTACTAATAATCCTCCTCTGATCCGTGCATTGCACTGGTCTGGATGATTTACAGATATCTGGTAGCCCAGATGGATTACGGGTGGTAGAAGTCGAGGACAAATAGGCATGGAGCACGTGCAGTTTAGCTGCATGGGGTGTGCAGTGAAATTCATTTTTTGGAACTCCAGATTTCAAGAACAGCATCTAAGTTGTGTCCAATTTGGCCAGGTCACATTGATCAGCTTCCAAGAGAAAAAACAGGATGACATTCACAGAAAAACCTGCAGGAGGGGGGCACAATTGTGCTTTCTGGGCCTGCTAAATAGATCTGCTAAATCTATTTGTGGTGCTTGATCAGGGTTTCATCAATGGAAGTCCCAAGCAGGTACTTTTCCTTCAAAATATATTGCCATCCCAAAATACTTACCAAATCAGGCCCGGATTAAAGCACTAACAACATTTTGGACAGAAAGGGAAAATGCATAATGTAAGAGACAAGAGAACACAGGTGCAAGCCCTCTCCACTATGAGACTGTATCATAACCTACTCGGGCATCCAGCTACAAAACTAAGAAAAGATCTGTGCAGTCCATCAGGTTTCAATTTTAACATAAAAAATGAAAACGAAAAAGAAAATTATGGAGTTTTCTCCTAATCTCAACCTAGTGCTTGCTAGCGCCATGAGATACTGGTACTGAAGAAACAGTTTTCCTCATCACATTTTGGTTGTCCCTTACAACCATATATATTTTGTTAGGGATCTGAAAAAAATATATGCAGAGATATTTCAATTGCATTTCTTCCTAATGCTGAAACACTTTGGATCCCTGGTCATGAATAGGATGCCTAGAGGATACCAATTGGACAACATATCAGAAAATGTTACGTCCACCCATTCATTAACAGTTCAAGGCAAATACAGTTTGATGTGTGAATACAAGGAAACAATAGCAGTGTAAGTGGTCAGCTCAAAATACTATCTACTTGACTGTTTTGTTTTGTTCAGATTGTTTCAGATGATTTCCAATATTTTTGTGGAAGTCACAATAAAGCAAAGCTTTAGGAAGGCAACAAAGATGACATTTTCATAGTATATACAGCCAATGCCTCTCAAGTATTAAAGAATCACAGTAGAACAAATTACCAAAGGAATTGTTTGAAAATTGTTTGAAAAGCTTTAAAGAGTGGCTGGCATTACTGTATGCTTTTTTGACTAAAGTAATCTCAGGTATCCTGTATTTTTCAGTTGTATGACATTAACTGGCTTCAGTCCAAGTTACCACATGCCCTTTGCCTGTAAAGTATACACCATACAATGTACATGAAAGAATACTACTTCCTCCTTGTAGATCTGATGTAAAAGTAAAGAGAATATCCACAAATGGTCTGAGATTTTACAAACATCAGGAAACACAAAATAAAATGATGTCACAGCTCATTTCATCCATTTCAACTTCAGCCCTACATAAATGCTAGGATTCCTATAGGATGACATTACTTCCTCTTAGATGCAGTGACAGGGACTACAAACCTTTTCCATACTAGCCTACTATCTGCACCTTTTAATTTATTACAATTATGTATATCTCATCACAAACATATTTAGATAAAAAATAGTTCCAGAATTACAGAAAAATTATCTACAAAGGTATATGTAGCCCAGAAAGCCAATCATATCCTGAGCTGCATGGAAAGCAGCGTGACCAGCAGGTTGAGGGAGGTGACTCTGCCCTTCTATTTTGCTCTGGTGAGACCCCACCCAGAGTGCTGAATCCAGCTCTGAGGTCCCCAGCACAGAAAGGACGTGGACCTGCTGGAGTGAGTCCAGAGGAGGGACATGGAGATGATCAGAGGGATGGAAAGGAAAGGCTAAAAGAATTGGGATTGTTCAGCCTGTAGAAGAGAAGGCTTCAGGTTGACCTATTTGCAGTCTGCCAGTATCTGAAGGGAGCCTATGAGAAAGATGGAGAGAAACTTCTTGTAAGATCATGTAGTGACAGGACAAGGGGGAAGGGCTTCAAACTGAAAGAGAGTAGGTTTAGATTAGATATTAGGATGAAATTCTTTACTGTGAGAGTGGTGAGGCACTGGAACAAGTCGTCCAGAGAAGTTGTGGATGCCCCATTCCTGGAAGTGTTCAAGGCCAGGTTGGATGGGGCTTTGAGCAACCTGGTCTAGTGGAAGGTGTCCCAGCCTATGGAAGGTGGTTGGAACTAGATTATTTTTAAGGTCCCTCTCACCCAAAGCCATTCTATGGTTCTGTGTTATCATTCTGTGTTTCTATACCATGCAGTGCAATGCCTTACAATGAATAACATAACACACACACGTGCACAAAATATGTAAAGGTGAGTTCAGTATCCCTCTTTTCTGTTTTTAACAGCTTTAACACTAGTATTGTGCAGTGCAAGTTATAAAGGGTTTAAATACAGCTAATCAATTTAAGAAGACAAAATGTTTTTATTAGTTTTCCAAGGCAGACTGGAATAAAACACTAAATATTTGATAGAAAATCATAGAAATATAAATGCTCAGCATAACTATTCTTAAAATAATATAACTTAATGTGAAACATGAAATAGGGAGACTAAGAGTGTACTGTGAACATTTTTCTTAAAAGCCGAAATACTGAAATTAAATAAACAAACTCTGGTAGAAGAAATAGACTCACTGTTTTTGAAGACTGTGAAATGGGACCTGATGGTTGTATAACCTTTTAAAGGTTATGCAACTAAACATTGTTTGCAGCCTTGGTATGCCAGAATTGAATGACAAAATTAGTCAACAGTGTAATTTATGAGGGACTCTCCTGGTTCCCTCCTTACACAAATCAAATTTGGAGGCAGAATAATGTCTTATGATAGCGAGGCAGTACTTGCCGAATGTGTTGTGTGGCAGCTTGCAATATACCTTCATCTGAAATCACATTTATAAAAGGAATGTTCAATTTGAAACCATTTTTACCCCGTTTACTGACACCTAATCCATAATTCTTGCTACCTTGTGTATTTCCACAGGTAAGACATTACACCATGCAGACAGCAGTGAAAAATGGGGACAACGGAGAAAGTGAAGGAAGGAAGAATGCCACTCTGTTCTTCCTGTTTCCCACTTAATGGCTTCCAGATCTCTGGAAATCAAAACAGTTGGTGTGAAGAACTCTTCTTTGAATCAACCCTAGGTGTAAAAGGGCCAAGCAAGACCAAGGAGCAATCACTTTCCGGTGTGTGCACCCTGCCTGAAGTACCTAGGAGAACAGGACCTTGATGGCCAGCCACATCAATGCCTCTCTTCATCAGACATTTCTTGAAAAGGCAGAAAAATGAAGGTTGCTGGTGCTGGGTACTCCAGCAGAGGGGTTTTACTTTCCCATCAGGTCATTGCAGAAGGCACATTAAAGCTGCTCACAGCTAATGTACCTTTTCCACCAGATCATCTTTATTCTTCAGATGTTAATATTTTTCTTATGTCCCTAGTAATTCCACAGTGCAGGGACAGGCCTTTAGATTTAGCTTAAGTGGGTCCATGAAATCTAAGGGCAGTTTAGGATAAACAAATTTGCATATGAAATTATGTAACACTAGTGACACTGCTCTGACTGAATTGCTCATTTTCATTTTCTTTTAATTCAAAACCTCCCACGTCTGGAGTTATCTGTCACTGCCATTCAGACTCATCTTCAGATGGAATGAACAGTCCTCTATTCCACCACCATCCCACCTATTACACCTGATGCCATTTGCATGTTTTTTAATGGAGATAATTTCGGTCAGTTGAATCACAAGATGCAAACACAAGTTGCCAAGGGAATGTAGTTTACTCCAGAGGTGTGGCTGTGAAAGCTGTTACAAGGGCTCAGTATTCATGCTTTCTGAAATATTTTTCTCTCTGGCATGATGGTTGCATCTAAAGAGGAAGAGTAATTTTTGTGGGGGCAGCACCTTTCCACTGCAAGATATAGGAATCCTTAAAAGGAGCCGGACAACAGGGAAGATATCCTCCACTGAACTGCATAATGCCATGTGACATTTTGGCATTTCAAATGTCTCAGCTATTCTTTTAGTACGGGTCCCTTCGAGAACCTTTTCTGCAGAGTCTGGTAGATGATTTCAAGCAATGTAAATCACCAGACCTATGTCTAAATAATGCTTTTCATGGTACCTCAGTCAAACAATGCTTCCTGCTCTTTCTTGCTCTGGGCATAACCTTCACCATGACCTTTCAGTGATGTCCTGCTGCATTTCTCACCTAAATCTTCTTATTTTTGAGACCAACCATGCTGGACCAGGTAGTTATGTCCTTACTTATCAGATGTCACTATAGAAAGAAAAAAAAAGATGGCACAGATGTTTGATCACGGTTCTGGGTTTTCCTAGACACTGATGTTTGTTTCTGCCAGATTCAAACCACAGGGATGTGGAAGCTTCAGGAAATACCTTCTGAAGTCAAGAGTTGTTCACTCAGGTGCTATAGGAAGATTAAATGAGTCAGTGAGCTTGGATCAGAGCTCAAACTGTTTAACCCCTTCAAATGCTCCATCCAGTTGTCTGCGTTGCCTTCCCTGGTGAAGTTTTAATGTGTGCCAATCTGTAATTTACACACTTAACCCTAAACTTGTAGTTTGCTGGGCTTCTTTAATGTAGTTTAAATTCTACTTTTATGATTAAACTGTTCAAAAATGCCTTGGACAATTTGGAGAGTGGGTGACACTTAATAGTTAAAATTATTATATTTAGATTCTTTTTTTATTATCCTGAAGTCTGTCAGTATGGGAATAGAAACTTCAAGTGATGGTTAGTTATTGAGAACAGCATTTGGATTATTACCTTTCCAGAAAAGTACTCCTATTTCTACTGAGAAACTGTCTTAATTTCCTTTTATTACTAAAACTTAATGAGATAGTAATATAAAATATAATTAATTTTATAATAATTTTAAAATTTATAGGTTAACCAAAGGGGGATTCTGTCTACAGAGTCCATTTGGATCTTTGATCTGCCTGCTAAAAATGCCAAAAAATGTCTACCAGTTACTGCCAGGACTAATGATGACCTCTGACCCTGAAGGCCCAAGTAATCTCTGCCTTGGTTTCTCAGCTATTAAATATGATGGGGAATACAGATCACTGTAGGCTGTGAGCCTTTTTCTTGTTTCATCTTTTAAAGCTCCAATTCTTCAGTGCATACAAGCACAACTTTATCATTGTGACAGCACTGCTGTCAGTGGAGCTGCTCCAAGAATAAGGTCAGAGTGTGCATTCCTACAAGGTCATGGATTGAAAAATATTTGGGGTGAGATTTATTCCCCAGTTAAGAACCTAAATGGTGCCTAGCACAGTAGATTCTTCTACTTGTTTGTGGCTTTCTCAGTAAAAAAGTTTGTTATAATAGTAATAAAGTGAGAAGTTCTAGCTGTTCTTTATTATTTTACAGCACTGTCATATTTCACATCTGGTACTGTGTTTGACTTTTATTCCCAGCCCTGTTAATATGTGATATATCCATAGAACTGCAAAGTCAGAAGATTGATTGGACATTTCTAATAAATATTAAGCTCTAGTCTTATACACTTGCCCATCTAGAGAAAGGACAAACACCTGTTTTGCAGAGGTCTGAATTTCTAGCATGTTGTTGGCCAACTGGAACACACAGGTTGCATTCAAAAGCAAATTTGCTTGAATGCGTTGATGTGCTTCAGACAGGCAAAAACTAAGCATGAAATTCTAAGGACTGTTTCTCTGGTCTTATTTAAGCTTCTTTTCACAAGACTGCACAATACAGTTATCAGGTATAGGGCATTGAACAGCCTTTCATGTATTATTTAGGTAAAAGCTCAGCTGTTTTAGATGGCAAAACAGTGCAATCTAAAGTGAGTGTTATCCATTATTTTCACTTGGGCCAAGATTTATTTTAGCCCAATTTCCTGTCTACAGGGAAATGCAGCTGGTGGGTGAGTTCTCACTCCTATTACTGACTCCTAGAGAGCTTCCCTAAGGAATCCAGTGCCAACTCCCCACTGATTATTGATTCCATCAAACTCAATAAACTCGAATGAATAAATAGTTCCTAATTTGTTGTGACATTGCACAGATGTGTTTATTTGTTAAAGAAGGGAGCTGTGACAGTGTACTTCCCATTCAGCACTGGGACAACTTGGTTTGTATTGGCAAGGATGGGGAGAGAAGGGTGGGCCATGCCAGGCAGCTTGCATGATGAGATGTTTGCAATTACTGCTCCTCAGCAGAGTCTCTGGGCTTCCTCTCACTCTTTGTGCCTTTGCTTCCCTTTTCTAATACATAGATTGCTGAGTAGTTAAAGGCAGGGGCCATAATTTAGATCTATCTCTGCAAAAGGGGGTTCATGCCCAGGTCACAAATTTGCAGTTACAATCTAGATTACATCAGAGCTGAGACAAACCTGATCTCACCTGCCACCCAAGGCATTTTTTTCATGGACAATTTTGTCCTTTTCACTGCATTCTTGGATCCTGGCAGTATAACTGCATCTGTGTGACTCAGTGCCCTGGAACAGTCTTATGCTTCTATGATCATATTGTTCTGTATCCAGAGATAATATCAGTATGGCTTAAGAGCCCTGAAGTGTTGGAGAAGACTGAGTGATCACTCTTTGGGTTTTAAAATTCACTTCTTTTTATCTCTGGATTACTATGACATTCTGATGTCTAAGATTTTAAATTAATGCACAGAAAACCAATGACGAGTGCGATGATTTAACACCAGCCAGTAACTAAGAACAACACAGACACCCACTCACTATCCCCCACAGTGGGATGAGGGAGAGAATTGAAAGAATAAAGGCTAGAAAAACTCAGGGGTTGAGATAAAGGTAGTTTAATAGGTAAAGTAAAAGCCACACAAGCAAGCCAAGCAAACAAGGAATTAATTCACCTCTTCCCATCAGCAGGCAGGTGTACAACCATCTCCAGGTTAGCAGAGCTCCATCACACGTAATGGTTACTTGGGAAAACAAATGCCATCTCCAAACATCCCCTGCTTCCTTCTTCTTCCCCCAGCTCTGTATACTGAGCATGAGGTCATATCAGTATGGAATATTCCTTGCATCAGTTGGAGTCAGCTCTCCTGGCTGTGTTCCCTCACAGCATCTTGTATACCCCCAGCCTCCTCAATGGTGGGGTCAGCAATAACTAAAGTCACCCTGCATTATCAATGCTGTTTTCAGTACAAATCCAAAACATAACCCCATTCCAACTACCGTGAAGAAAATTAACTCTACCCCAGCAAAAACCAGCACAGACTGTCTGAAATGATAGGAAGTTCGAGAGGCCAGGTAAGGGAGTAGTTTCCCAAAGTTGTCAGGTTTGGTTTCAGGAAACCTGGATTCAAATTCCAGTTTGGTGCATATTGCCAGACACAAACTCAATGTTACAGTTAACTGACCTGTAAAAGGTGACCTTATTAGTTCTTTTTTCCCCCCTTATCTCTGCCAGTTTTCCAGGGCAGAAAATGTCTCTCACTCTCTGTTCGAGCCAGAGATTTTTAGAATGGTGACACCATCTCTGTTGGGGCCTTAAGGCATGTCCATAATAGAAAAAACAGCAATACATTTTATTCAGAGAAAAAAAGTAAGGTATTAGATATGTTTTTTTCTGAAAGCACTGTGTGCTGCAAAGGCAATTTTTCTTCTGTAATAAAACAAAAAATGATACAGCAGTAAATCTCAATGTGCTCTTCTCTCAGTAACATAATTTTACAGAAGTCTAGCAAGACAACTTATGTGTCTTTCCTTTCTTTTATTTTCTCTAAAAATAGTTACTCAACCTTGTGAGTTGAAACTGGAAATTGATGTTCTGCATCAGTGATTAAGTAGCCCAATTAGCCCCAGAGTTTAATCACTAAATATTCTGGTTTGGAGTACAATTGGAATACACTCTTTGAATTCTATTTACAATTTTGTGGGCAACAAAAAGAACTAAGTTGGAGGAGAGCTTCTACCCTCAATCCGTATCTGCTACCACTGCTTTTTTTTCTTTTTTTTTAAAGTTTTAGGCCCCTCATTCCCAGGAGTTTCTCTCGTTCCTTATATTTACCTCAGTAAGAGAGATGTTGTGCCAGAAATGGAAGTACGAAATAGAAGACATCAGAGCATAGAGTACTTCTCCATTCATCAGGAATTCTTCACTGAGTAACTACCAGAACTCTATGGTTCACTGGCTGGATATGTGGATAAACAACTAAAGACTCAGCTCCAGGAAGAAAGATGCTTTGCTTCTTGAAGGCTATCAGGAGTAAAGGTCCTTATCAAACCCTCTGCCTTCAGATATGGGAATAAACTACTCCCAGCTTTCTGGTTTGGAAAATCTTGTCAGCAGGGATTTGTTAGTGAGATTTCTGATACACATCTGCAACAGTCTCTGATACAGTTCCATAATTCTGTATTTAAGAGAATGCAAAGCTTATCATGCAAACAAGACAGCACTCAGATGTGCTGAGAATCTGACACACTTAGATTCCTTGCCCATTTCCAATCTATGCCTTTGTCAGATTTTTTGAGTCAGGAAGAACAAGCCCTTTCTTCTTCTTACCTATCCAAATCTCTGGGATTTAAGAGAGGAAAGAAGGAGAGCAGCCCAACTACACAGTGATGTTTTACACAAACCCCAGGGCCAGTCTGAGGACGCAGGTTGCTACTCTGAGGCCTTCCCATCCATGTAACCTCCACGCTGAGACCTGTCCCCCACACATACTGAAGTATTACTGCAGTGCACAGAGATAAATGAATGAATGTTTGTGGACTCCTCTGCTCTGGACTGACCTAGGCAACTACTTGAGCAGCAACGAGATGATACTTGCACTTGAGAAAGACAATTCAGTGAAAGCAAAGTCAGTGGCAGGTTAAAACTGTTCCTTGATATAAATCTGTAGGGTTTAAAATAGAAATATCCAGTGCATTAAAATGATAAAAAGTAAATTAACATAGAAATTCATTAACAACATTGAGAATCTCACAGTAATATCTGCCAACCCAGGTACTAAATCAAAATTTGAATTTAATAAAATCACTCATTTGCTAAAGGTCACAATGCTTCAGGTAAGCTACTAGTTTTTTCTCAGTCAGCTGTGTTTATAATTACCAACCACTGTATTTTCTCTTTCTTACATTTCTTTGGAGGCTCTGCTGCTTTGTTCTTATTCTCCAATGGCTACATGAGGCTGGAAGAAGAAATTACCATCCAAGATACTGAAATTTCAAAATTCTACATTGTCTTAAATTGGGATGAAAATCTCAGAATATTTTGCAAACAAAATATGCAGAAATATTTTATTCTCACCGTACACAGCATTCCATTTTAACAAACTCAAAGCTGGTAATCTGATAGTCTTATTCTGTTATTTAGCTAAAAAAACAGGATGGGTAAAAGTGTTAGGACTTTTTTGAAATTAATCCTTTCAACTTTCTGATAGTAAGACTTAACAATAATTGTACAGTAAGAACTTGAATGAAAATAACATTTATCTGCAAGATATTTTCATTCTGTAACACCAGCATTTTTCAACAGGTCACCTTAGAAAATTTTCAGCTTAGCTTAATGTATGCAACATCAGCTTTATGTTTATCATTTTGTGGGGCTCTACCATTTTTTTAGAGGCAGTAGTACCTGCAGAACTTACCTTTGAATTTGGAGGACAAGATTGTACATCATGGTAGGAGGTATTCATGAAAGTAAAAGAGAATAAGATAGGAAAAAACCTGATGCATATTTAAGTCAACAGAAGCAGATTATTGTGGAAGTGCTTGTATGAGAATAATCTCTCTGTTGTAGTACCTATAAAAAGATACTTAAACCCCTGAATCAGCCATGGGGCTCCTGGTAGATAATGGAGAAGTCTATAAACCTTTTGCACAGAATCTCCCTTAGCATTGATTTGGTGTGTGATGCACGGTGTTGTGAGCAGGCAGAGGGCTTGCTTTTTATAGAGTCTGGAATTATTTGAGACCTGAATGAAAAGTCAGTGGGGAAAAAAACACTTAAAAACCTTTGCAACGGTAATGGTCACTACACATATTTGACATCCGTGTTTTGATTTTAACTGCACAGTAACAAAACTACTAAGCATCAACAGTTTCAAAAGCTTACAATAATTGTCTCATGTTCTGTCAAAGTCTGCCTAGAGTTCCCTCTTTCTCTTGCATTCCCTTCCCCTCTGTCATCAGCCCAAGAGCATGATGACTGTCAGCTGCATAGCTTCTCTTCTTCAGCGCTGGAGATGGATGTGGAAGGCAGCCTCTTTACTCTTCCCAGTTGAATGATTCTTCCTCTCTCCAGCCAAGCAGGATCATAATAGCTACGGGTGGGACAAATGGGATCTGTATGTCTGCTGTCTTTATAAAATCTCAGTAGCATCATTCTTCCCCTCCCTGCCTAAAAAACTTCCCTTAGCACTAATAGGCTTGGTGGTACCAGGAACTTTTAAACATTTATTTATATCCCTATTATGATTCAACTCATGTTGTCAATGCTACATTTACAAATCTGTCACCAAGCTCCTTCAGTATCCCACATGGGAGTACTGAAGGAGAAGCAGAAAAGCAGCTGAACTCAGAACCCGAGGTTATCTCTGCTAAACTACAGGGAATGATTCAAACTTTCAGGTTAAGTTCCTTTGCATTTCCTATGCTACAAGTTGCTGGGGTCAAGTTTGTTATTATCTATTATAGCAACACAAACCGAATGAGAATTGTTAACCTTTTTTTTTTCCTTTTCTACTGGAAAGTGAAGTACTGTAGAGAGATGTATGTGTGAATCTAAGTACAAGGAATGCTTAAAAATAACAGTAAGATCATTCCACATTAAATGTGTATAAGGAAACTTCAGGGATGCTGATATTGTAGGGCTTTACAAGTTTCATTCATACTTGTGTTTTTCTATATTTATGCCACTCAAATCAACATACACCAGAAAGCACAAATAAAATCTTGCCATTAGAAAGGTATAACCACATTCAAGGAGCATATACATATTTTTATTTTTTTAATGACTTTCCTATAAGATGCCATATTTACCATATTCAATACCATATCAATATACACTCCTGCTCCTTTTGCAAAAATACATCCTACATTGCTGTTCATCAGACCCTCCTGAAGAGAAGTATCACTTGATCACTGCACTCCTGACCATAATTGCCACATCTACTGCTTTTGTACAGGTAGATAAGAACGCATGCTCTTATGCCCAGTTGTTTGCTGTAGAGCTTGTCACAAAGCCATCAGCACAACAGACATGCTTCACACAGAGATGACAGAGCACTAATTTTAGAAGCTTTCTAGTAAGGAATTGGAGCAGGGAATGCATACTCATTAGTTAGTCAGAAGTGCTGCTCTTTGAAATGGAAGCATTTTCCCACCTTCTCAGTTAACTGTCTTGAAGGACTTGTTGACATACAAGCTGTATTTCCTTCCCACCAATTTGCATCTGGGTGGGAGACCAGAGCTCACAGATTGACGTCTCAGGCAACCACCAGTCTGCTAAACATAGTTGCCCTCCTGAACACTGAAGAAGATTATATTCCGTAAAAACTTCCCTCAACTTCTCTGGAAGCCTCTGGTCTGCAAGACTCTTATTCTTTCTGAATTAGTGTTTTCGAAATCTGACCTCTAATCTTTTCTGTATAATAGTGCAAGAGTTCTCATATGATTTCCATTTTAGTAGGTTCAATTGAGCTACATGCTGGCTAGATTATAAATGCTGTGCATACTTCTCTGTCATGTGGTTTTTCCACTTTAATCCTAATACAATGGTGTTTCGAAGTAAATACCAACTTTTAGGGTATCTGTGCACTATCCTGAACACAATGGCTCTTGCTTATGTGATAATGCATAACAATATTAAACAATAGGAACAATGATAATAATAAGTATTGCTAGCTAATTAACATTGGTTGTAGTTTTCCAAGTTTTAAGATTGTTACAAAACTTGACTGCATACATGGAAGCAGTGTTAACTCCCCTTTGATAAAAAAAAAAAGAATTATTAATTGTGATTGTCAT